CATCGATCTTCTAGTACTAGATACGGCATAGGCTATCTAACAGCATTGAGTTTGTTTTGATACGCAAAGTCGTGGACATGGAGCTCTGCGGGATGGGGCGGGGAACAAATATTTGACGTTAGTCCTATACACCAGTCGCGTAGTACATTAGATTGGTTCAGTAGGAATTTTAATTACAATTTAGTATTAAATGCAAGAAGTCTTATCTTCGGAAATAATTGAATCAAACTTAATTTTAAAGCAGTACATCTTGACATAATAAAGGCTGTGGTTAGCAAAATATATCAAATGATATGGGGCTATAGGAACTGTAGCAAAATCAGTTTTTGTAAAAATTGCAATTTTTTCATTAGACTTATACAATATAGTGTAAAATTTTTGTTATGGGGGAAAATTACAGAATGACTAAATCTTCATTTGACTATTTTAGTATAGTTATTTAATGCTGACTAATTTATCAACATCTAAGTTTACATAGTATACTCGTATATTATGTTAAAATATGTAGGTACCTACTGTATCTCACCCTACTTTTATTAATATATGTTTTTCAAAAAGCATTTTTTGTAGCAGACGGTTTCTTTGACTGATGTGAGTAACTTATTAGTTTTGAAATTTGATGGTAATGTAAAAGTTAAGGTTTACAGTGATCTTCCAACATCTCGCTTTTAAGAAAATTAGTGTCAAATAAAATATACCTATTAAGATAAAACTTTTATTAATTGTTAAGAACTACTATTAAAAGAAAGTATTGAATAAATAACAAAATAAAGGATATAAACTACATATGTAAGTTATTGTATATTATAAAAGTATTAACAAAATAAAATAAATATATTAGTACCTACATTTAGTATTGAATAATTCTAATTGCAATTAATACTGTGACAATATCCATAAAAAATGTGTTTATTGATTTTTAAATAAAATTGTTTTTGTCAGTAAGCTTCTGACTGTTTTGTACATTATCTTTTAACTTAAGTGTCTCGTGATGCACTCTAATCTTGAAATAATTTTTTAAAATTAGTTTTACTAATTGTAATGGGTGCTCATCAAACGGATAATTTAATATCGAAAATAAATTATATTAATGTTCAATAGTATTCCAAAGGTGCGTTACACCTAAAAGAATCTACGCCCATGTATGCTTACAAACTTAACGTATGAAACGATATGGCCGATCCTCTTCTAAACTTGCTACAAATGATGCAGGACTTTCCCATAGTTACGTATATAATAATATGGTATTAATAACTGTCACAAAATCACTTCAAACACTCAAAACATTTATAATACATAACAAAATTTGTAATGCGCTTTGCTAAGGTGGCCCTAAGGCTAGCGCGGGAGGGAAGGAGTAAGGAGGGTATGGGGGGTGTATATGTGTGTGTCGTTGTCTTGGTTTCTTGATCCTGGCGGTCTCTGAAACAGAAAAGGTTAGCGGGCAGGGGGGGGATGTCGTTGCGGTGGTCACCCAGGGTCAAAAAGTTGGTGTCTAGGTCTTTTGTGTTTGTCGGTCAGGTCGAGTACGTAGTCAACGGCTTGCCTGAGGAGGGGATTGTCATGTCTAGTGGCTACGTCAAACTGTTTCTCCGCGTTTTGTCTTATTGTCTGTGTAGCGTTTGTGTATTGTAAGTCTCGTA